GTAATGCTGAATCTTTCCATCTTTGTGCATATAGTAATCTCACTGCAGTAATCATATATTGAAATAATCTTCCATGGCCCTTTTCTAATTGTTTATCCATCAATCCCAAAAGGAATAGTTATGGCTTCAGTTGAATATTAATCTTTAAAATCCTCTGTATCAATGTGTGTATTTGAATCCAAAATTTTTAGCCTTATTACATATTCACCAAGCAAGAAATAATGTCCTTTCATGTTGTTCACATTTCCAACATACATTTGAAATGCCTTTACACATTCTAGATAATTCCTCTGGTGTCATGCACCAACGATACTCATTTTATAAAAATTACATCATAACAATGTAAATTTCAACCCTTTTGACCATGTATTTTCCTACTGATCCATCTGTATATCATAACCAAAATTGTTAGTCCACTTTGTCATACATTCTTTAACTTGTTCTTTCATTTCAAATTTCAACAAAGTTTATACATTTAAGTAATTACATGTTCATCATTGGTACACAATTGCAATTCAAATTCTGTCTTACTTAGCTCCATACCATAAGTCTTTTTATCCATTTAAAATCTTTCCGATAATTATAAATGGGAAAACCACTGACAACTATATCCTTCTGCCATTCGTTTGTCTCTTGATTTAATTTTATATTCCTTTTGATGATTCTCCAATAATTCCTGGTATGTTAACCATTTGTCTATGCCTATTATTTCTCTTCTATAAAATGCTTCTTGTGCTAAGGTCCACAGAGGTGTTTTTGGACACAGTCTGGGTTTATATCTATTCCATTTTCCTCAATATGGCACATCTAATAAAATGGTTTTTAAAATCCACATTCACTTTATCGTACCATAAATATCCATGCCACCCAAACCTCAGGTCGTGCACTTGTAACTCTAAAAGTCTTTTGTTTCTCAGCAACATGCATTCTTTCATCCAAACCAAACAACAAGCTGCAAAATACAATTTCCAATCCAGTAAACCCAATCCTCTTTTTTCTGTTGTATCTTGTAACACTTTGTACAGGTAGTCCTTGCTTAATGATCATTTGTTTAGTGACTGTTCGAAGTTATGACAGCACTGAAAAAAGTAACTTATGACTGGTCCTTGCACTTGCAACCATCGTAGTGCATCTGTGGTCATGTGATCGTGATCTGGGCATTTGGCAACCAGCTTGTGCTTATGACGATTGTAGCGTCCCAGGGTCATGTGATTGGCATTTGTGACCTTCCCAGCTGACTTCCAGCAAGCAAATCGATAGGGAACTGTGTGATTCACTTAACAAATGTGTAATTTGCTTAATGGCCATGTGGTTCACTTAACAACCACTGTGATTCGCTTAATGACTGCTGGAACAAATGTCATAAAATTGGATGCGGTCACATGAGGCCTCGCTTAATTACTACCCTGCTTAATTATGAATTTTCTGGTCCCTATTGTGGTCACTAAGCGAGGACTACCTGTATTTAACTTGTGTTTTTTCCCCTTGCCATACAAATTTAGATATATCTTTTTGCCATTACAAGAATGGTACATCAGTTGTCAAAACAGATATTGTCTGAAACAAAAACACCATTCTAGGCAAAACATTTTGAGAAATTCTCAACAGTGACAATTTTAATTTCTCCCATCTTAACATGTCCTTATTAATTTCATTCCGTGTCTTAAAATAATTGTTTTGAAATAACATAGAATTCATATTTGTCATAATGCCCAAATATTTTATTTTTTTTCAATCTTAAAATCAGTTTTCTCCATCAGTTCTATTTGATCTTCTATTTTCATATTTTTTGTTAACATCTTTGTCTTTTGCTTATTAATCTTTGGCTAGCATACCAAAGTCCTTTAATTTTCCCATTAATGTTTCTACTCCCTCTAACAGATCCTCCAAAACTACCACCAGGTCATCAGTAAATGCCCTTAACTTGTACGTTTCTTTTTTAAACTTTACTCACATGATTCTCTCATCTTATCTTATGTCTCTATTTAGTACCTCAAGAACTAAAGTTAAAATTCTTTTAACCTCTTTTTACAGTCCTCCACTACTGTTTTCTTTTGCAACAAGACCTCATTTAATCTCCATCTGAAAAACTGTTTTTTTCCTTTTAAAAGTTAAAGTCACTGGGTTGTGGCAAAAAAGTCTTTGTTAATATCTCCACTTTATGAACATTAGTAGCCAAAGTCTTAGAGATCCAAATCATATCTATTCTTGGAAAGGATCTATGTCTTTCAGAAAAATAAGTATATTCTTTTGAGTTACCATTTTTATATCTCCATACATTAACAAGCTCCAAATTGTCCATTAAATCAAAGAAAACCTTTGGTAGTTTGCCTTGTGTATTTTTAATATTTTTCTC